ACTTGAACAAAGCGTTTCAATTTATTTTGGCTTCATACTTGACTGTATGGTCTTTGAACGATGTTGTATTTTCTTTGGACGATGTTGTTAGGAACGGACGGATGCTGGAAACCAAAATTACAGACCTTGTCAAAAAGTGAGTCATATGATCCACCTATAATGAGGTACCTAAGAATCCTACTGAGCATGTGCCGTAACTTGTTACGTGTATGTGTCTTTTACAGAATGTCGACCACGAAGGGCCGTTGAGGGCACCATTCGACAAAAGTGAGCCCAGTTGTACGCTTGAAACTGGACCAAGAAAACGCGAACCGAGCTGTTTGCCTGTGAAATCATCGATAGACAAGTCGGCTGACAACGGTACAGACAGCACGGAAATTGACCATATTTACGATATTATCAAACAAGAACATTCCAAAAACAAATATGACATCACTACCTATGACGTAGAAGATGTACACGAATCTCTTGTAAACAGCGCAGGCGCACTGCACAGCAATTTACAGGCGCTTCACGAGGAGATGATTGACACGCGGCTGACGCAGGAACGAGGCTGGATAAATTTAGAGTTTGAGTGGAATGACTTAGTTTCGACGATTGGAGGGTTGGTGGAGGAAAGAAGCAACCTACATTAACAACTCGAACCACTTTGAGTTGTGCATGGTTCGTTAGCACAGTTGTTCATTGAAAGGTTTGTAATTAGTTTCAATGAACTTATATTTCCCAGGTTTCGCCGTTTTACCACAACCTTGCCATTTATCAAGCAATATTGATTTTAACAACCTAATTTGTACAAACGTTTGTCAACAATTTTTAAAGATCATCTTATGTGTTCATCTTTGAGAAATAAACACCCATATTTTCAGCACTGCTTAACATACGGAATCAGCGATTTGCGAAAATGAAATAGTTGTATACAAGTCTCCTGCATACAAGAAAAGCATATATTTTGACCACAAAAAAGACTTTACTCAGTGTTGAATAAAGCTATGAGTGACATCAATCAGCCCAGCTTTGATCGGTTGCAAAAGCTTAAATACGAAATTTAGTTCTTTTGTCCCTTGACGCACCTGTGGCTATTTTTGAAAAAGAGCTGTGCTTTTATTCGAATAGCATTACTAACAAACGTACAATTTGTTTAATGTTAAAAAACTGTTTTACCTTGAAATTTAAAGTTCTCTCAATTTCTCTTAGTGGGTGGCTGCGAAATATTCCTATATCACTTACTCATTTGACTGGATTCTTCCGTCAATATTTGTATGCGAAATTCGGTAATTTGTGACGAAGACGAGTCTATATGCTAATTAGCGTACAGTGAGACTGGAGTTGTTTAGAATCATCCGTCACATGCAAGTTATGCTCAAGACACCAGGGCTGAGAATCAGAATGCTCACTGTGAGTTGACATCAAACAAGAATTAAATGATTTAATGAAATCATAATCAATAACAATTACATTCTGACAAAACAGCAACTTATACAATGAATCACAAGTCACTCAGTCGTTAGAAAACTTAATTTGGCATTCACAATTCTTAAAATTTGATCATTTTCGCTCGATAATGTACATTTGCCCACTCAAATAAGGTAATTGATCACCTATATATGAGCAAATACTCATTCCCGGATATGTTAGCGACAAATTGTTTTAAATATTTACAATGCTCAGAAACGGGTAATTGTTCAAGTTGGTAAAATCGTGCGCAGTTATTTTAAAAAGTTACAATTCTTCGTCGTAATACAAAACCAAGAATGTTTGTCATTTATTCATAATAATATTGATAAATATACGTACTTTGAATTATGTCGTATCGATGCAAGATTAAAATTATAATTAAATATAATTTTATGTTACTTGTATCGGGATTGTATTGTCTTATAAACAAGAAATATTGAAATGTTCAATAAAATCTAAAATAAGAAGCTATTTGATACACTTGTAATAATGTGCGATGGGAAGACCAATAATAAATACATACATGTAATATGTCCATAAACCTGAAATATAGCCAAGTAGAAACGTTGATAATGTCTATGGTATGATTTTCTGGCGTACAGCGAAGGTTACACTGAAATCGGTATGTACGGACGACTTACCCCCCTCCCCACTTGGTGGCGTTTGCGATTAAATATTTACAGCTCTTCGCCTGTTCCAATCAGTGCTATTATATATACTAGTATGTCTTGAGTGTGATTTACGGCGTGGTTGAAATTACCCCCCCCCCTCCAATATAGTCACCATAGCCGCCTTCGCATGCCATATGCTTGTCCCTGATCTAGGTATGAGAGGTGTTTTCTATGGGTTGTTTTTGATTCGCTAGGAATTCTTTGTGTCCCTCTTCAGTTCGATACTGGTTGCCAGTGACAACGGTGTCCATGGCCAACGGTGTCGCAGCCCGTCGTCGTACCAGCGACTTAGATTTTGCCAATGCTTTCATTTCGTTTTTAATGAACTTCTTGATATGTGATATCCTCTTGGCCGCTTCGGCTCGTGTTTTATCGTCTTTTCGATTTCCTCCTGTCGATTTGCCCTGAACTCCTAAGATATCTTTCCGCGTATTCGCTTTGGCAACTTCGTTCGAATCATTGGTATTGCTGCTGTAAAATGTACACAGTCCGATTCGGACGGGCATCTCAGGCTTTTGTTCCCGTCTTCGTCTTTGCCCCTCCCGTTCCGGATCTTCGGCGTTAGTGCCCATTTCAAGCGACCCGGCACTACGGACCGAATAGATATGTGCCAAATATTCCTGCATGCTTCTCCCTGGAGATGTCTGCCATAGTCGATACGGGATCGGTTTGGGAGGAACCACTATCGTGTCCTTCGTAACTTCACCAGCTACACTGTTAGCTGAGCTGCCTTCGCTGCCAGCAGACCTCGTCTCAATAGATATCCCCTGGTATCCAACGGGGTAAAGTTCCCCATTGAGTACCGGGGGTAGGCTCCTTCGTTTCTTTCCCGTCAACTCCCTGTAGTCATCAACCAAATGTCCTGGCAACGTAAAGCTTGTGTAATGACACTGTCGGACATCTGGTAAAATTACATTCGTGTCAGATCGCATTGAGTCTTTTTTCCGGCTGTCTAAAAAAAACTGCGGTATTCCTTGTTCAATCTTCGGCAACACTAAGTCGTCTGTCTTTCGTGCTGTCGACTGATTTCTCGTTGGTGCCAAATTTACAGTCACCGGCTTTCTTGTAACAGAAATGGAGAGGTTGCTTTCTTGACTGTCGGACTCATCACTCTCTCCCAAGCCACTATAAAATGAACAAAATATTAAAAAATATTATTTGGGGATTGTTAACTTTTGTTCAACAGTTCTTTGTATAATTATGACAATACATTAGAAATACACGTAACGGGTTGGTTAATATCCCACATTGGATATTTAGAGTTATAACGAGAAATACTGATAGAAAGTATCACGGGACATTTTATGCTGATCAAAAGTAACGTTTTGCTTAGACTAGATATGGATAAACACTGTCCTTGTAAATACATCTCAACTAGACCATTACCTTCCATGACTGGACTAAATATTATCATCGTTATTTATACTCATAATAATATATTAGTTTACAGACCCCGCTTGTTTATCTATGGCTGTAAGCACCATGGTATTGGGAGCCAAACCATGAGTTAACGATGACGGCGTCGAGTTAATCCTCATTGTAGTCCACGTTATAACAGTTATTTTTTGGGTAAACATGGAGGAAAGCTGTCATTCTTTTCCACTGAACCATTCAGTCAGCTTTATTTCTTTTGAAGATGCGGAATGCCATTGGTCACGGGGTGCTTACGCCAAATTTTATTTAATTTTGTCAGATATTTGCATTGACATTAATATCAACTTTTTAAATCATAGAACTTACAGTTGTCACACTGAAAACTGCCTAATGTCGTGCATTTGTTCCAAACTATATAATGACGCGTTTAAAAGAAGGAAAAAAAGCTCGAATTCTTACGAAACGATAAATGTTTGATACGCTACCCACTTTCACTGCCCCGTGTCGTAAACACGGGCAGATTTATTGGCATAGCAACTGCAGCTATAAACACACAGTGTGACAGGTGTTCAGAAATCAAGCCGCGAGTATGGACCGGAAGAGTACGATTAGTAGGCCCTTCTGTATGATCGCCTTCAAACTCCATTCAGCCGTGACGCGGACTAAATTGACATTGAATGTTTAACCTATTATCTACGATGATGTCTTCCGTTATTCGCAAAGGTTACGCAATTTACGTCACCCGAGCGGGCCTCACTTTATGGCCGTAAGTAGCTATCCCGTAGCTATCCACTACTTTAGTAAAGATGCAATGTGCGCCCTAAATTTACGTGTATTCTGAGCGCATGGAAGCTCACTAGACTTTCCATTGTTGAAACAACAGCGTTTTAGCTTTACGATTTAGGTTACTTTTTTTAACAAGATGTAAAATCAAACAAAATTGTTTTAACAAGTACTCAAAAATACCGCCGACATTCAGAACACCCACTCAATAATGTTCTTGGCTAATACACTTTTGGAACAGGAATTTTGTGATTGGCTGTTACTCGAACTACCTGAATATTAGATTACACATTTTCCAATTCAAAATGGTAGCCAACCTGAAATTAGGGCTTATCACTACGGGAATTCCTATTCATCGTTTCCATAAAAACAAGTTCGGACAACCCTTTTTTATTTACACTTTCAGACGGAACCTTTCACTCAAAATATCCAGTATTTGTAATGTTTTCGACCCTTCCACATATTTCACTAGTTAACCGCCTTTATCCTTAAAAAAATATTCGATAAGGATAAAAAAAAAAGCTGCAGCCATCATGCTACAACTACGACATAAATCTCATCACTAGTTCTATATTGTAGTTTTCACAGGTATAACTACTGAATATAGTATCTCAATACACAATAAGATCTGAATATCGACGTCAAGGTCGCGGTGACCCGATGACATATATCACAAGAACGCTGTTAACGAACACATGTCGCGAAGAAAACATAATCTAGTCTATTGATTCCTTCAGAAACAAACGCCTCGACGATCGAATACGTTTCATAGATCATTCAGTGTGCAGTATACCCTATAGTCGTGTCAATATAAACGTGCTGTATGATGAATATTAAGTCATTTATACATTTCTACTTCGCGAGTAAACGCGACTTATGGTGTAGCGGCGGCGTCACGAGTATCTAGGACTTGGCATAGTCACGATGACGTAAGGAGTACACGTGACTTGGCGTAGTGACATAATGTGGCTGTCTGCACAAGGAATCACAAATATGAGCAGGATCAGAAAGCGTTTTTATCGTGTCTATCACCATTTTGCTAGGCAACGGAAAACATTTTTCAAAAAATGTTCACTATCCCCCGTTCCTCCCTCTACGCCCCCGAATATGACCACTTCTAACAGTGGCGTCATTGATTTAGGTGAAGTTCAATTGTACATCATTATTGGCACTTTAATACTTCCGAGACTTGCACGATGAGCTTACGAATTAAAGATGCCCTCATAATTAACTAATAATAAAAATGATTCACACTCATAATAATATGATAATTTATGCATAATTTAAGCATACCACCTGACGCTCACCTGTTCTTAAGAGGTTTTGTCGACAACACTGTATCTAGTGTTTCAAACAGAAATCTGAAAAGCAAAATAGTATAGGTTGAAATTAGTAGCTGTGGTCGAAAATTTAAACAATACGTACAGTGGGCACTTCATACAGTATATAATAAATACAATCTATCACAATGGTAACTTGAGATATTGCTATTCATATTTCATATATTCTCGACTACTCGAACAATTCAGATGTTATAAACATATTCTTTTAGAGTTATTTTTTTCGGCAGCAATATAATCGTCTACAAACACATGAATACATGAACGTCAATCAAACAGAATACAGACTATATCGCCCATCAATTCCGCGCCATGGATCTAAACAGCCGTAAAGAACGATCATATTATTCGCAAATATGGCTGCATTTAATTTTCTTCTAAATATAAACTGCATATTAAATCCTTTGTCATATTGCCTCAAATAATAAATATATTTCGCTGTTAAACCACCAAGTACAGTATATTACTATCCCTGTCATCATTTTAGATGTCGTTGGACATTAAATTGTAATCGACCTTGATGAGCACCTGTGACAGATATGTTGCCATAGTGATCGGAGACAACAAATGCATGTATTACCATCGCAAATAGTTATAAATATTACCATTAATTGGTGCGTTTTTATTGTCATGGTAACGGAAAGTTAATGTTTGAACGAGAGAAAGTAAAACGTGCCAAACGCGTGCTTTCTCGTGTGATAGATAATTTGAACGAATACGCGATCTCCAGCAACGAAGCGCGCTTCCGTGGCGTCAAATTAAACGTCAATGCATCAGAGCAACGCCGTTTAATGTGATGTCACTTTCTGGTTGTGCAATAGTTCCTCGTTAGAATACAGTAAACATCTCAAAAACGACATTTGTATCAAAGGAGTAAACAATCGTGATGTGGAGGAAAAACTTTCCTTTCACACAATTACGTCACAGAGAAGCATTTCGTCTTTAGAGCAACTGGCATGATGATGTTGTGGTGATTGGTGTCTAAAAAGACAATAATCCCGGGTTTAATAATATATGCAAAAAATAAGATGTCCTTGTCACACGATTTATTTATATGGAGGTAAACATTTTTTGAATACCAATTTTAGGCTGAGAATTGTAGTTCGGAAAAATTCAGGGGTTGAAAATAACCCTGCAACAGTACTGTATATCGCACGTGACCAATTATCATTTTGGTGTACGTGGAGTTGCGTGTCAATTCATTCAGTGTTATATTGTAAGATGGCATTGACATTTATGTATATTTAAGTTCTAATAACTCTAACGTTGCCAAATATTTCTATTTTATAATAAACTAAAGAAATGTAAAGCTCGTCATTTATTTTCAGATTTTTAATCAGTTCGCAATAGCATACATTTTCTAATGACTAGGGTATTGAGACACTTCATCAGTTGATATTGTTTTTCTGGAATTTCTTTTGCGTACCGTAAAGGCATAATGGATTTTAGTGCGTGGTCTCACGCTTCGGACTTGTTGTCATGGTAACGCGAAGAATGGCTTCCGCACTCGGATGGTGTTTTAAATAGGGAATTGCTATTCTTCCTGAAATTAGTACATTGTTATGCAATGTCTGTATTTGTGATATTATGTCTCAACTTGTTGTCAAGGTTACTGTGTCTTGTGTTGGAGCAACAACGGTCACGTGTTGGAGCAACAACGGTCACGTGATGGCTGTGGCATGCTATGCTATGCACACAAAGCCATGGTTTGCCCATAGATCTACAGAAAGGCTCTGTCAGTTACACGGGTCGAGTTTTAATGAGTTATGTACAGTGTGACGAAATAGGGAGCAATTTATAATGATATGGACATTGTGACGAAATATGGAGCAATTTATAATGATATGCACAATGTGACGAAATATGGAGCAATTTATAATGATATGCACAATGTGACGAAATAGGGAGCAATTTATAATGATATGCGCATTGTGACGAAATATGGTGCAATTTTTAATGATATGGACATTGTGACGAAATAGGAAGCAATTTATAATGATATGCAGACTGTGACGAAATATGGAGCAAATTATAATGATATGCATATTGTGACGAAATAGGGAGCAATTTATAATGATATGGACATTGTGACGAAATAGGGAGCAATTTATAATGATATGCACACTGTGACGAAATAGGGAGCAATTTATAATGATATGCAGACTGTGACGAAATAGGGAGCAATTTATAATGATATGCACACTGTGACGAAATAGGAAGCGCGTTTTCAATATGATATACACACTGTGACGAAATATGGAACGCGTTTTAATGATATGCACATTGTGACGAAATAGGAAGCAATTTATAATGATATGCAGACTGTGACGAAATAGTGAGCGAATTTTAATGATATGCAGATTGTGACGAAATAAGAAGCAATTTATAATGATGTGCACACTGTGACGAAATAGGAAGCGCGTTTTAATGATATGCTCATTGTGTCGAAATAGGAAGCGCGTTTTAATGATATGCACACTGTGACGAAATAGGGAGTGAGTTTTAATGATATGCACATTGTGACGAAATAGGGAGCAATTTATAATGATATGCAGACTGTGACGAAATAGTGAGCGAATTTTAATGATATGCAGATTGTGACGAAATAGGAAGCAATTTATAATAATGTGCACACTGTGACGAAATAGGGGGCGAGTTTTAATGATATGCGCAGGGCAATGAGACGTGGCACTTTTGCAATGTATTGCACTATCTATTAAATTTAAAACGAAGTCAACGTCGAGAAAAAATACCTACCGGTTGCGGCGATAAACACATTTATTGCCCCGAAAAAGAAGAAATATAAACGTAAACAAATTGTACAATGCATTATGGACAATAACGACGCTAATTTGTTGCTATCCATGGAGTTCGCAACCTAAGTATTGCCATTCATTATTAAAACGCATCGATTATGGTAAAAGCAATGTCCGTTGAGATTGTCTCATCTAGGCGAACTTGTCTTGATAATAATGACGGATTGTTTATGATTGATATTCTTTTCATAAAAATATTCAAATAGCTTTAGATGGTACGAGTACAATGACCGTGAAGGAAATAATGCTAGTACACTAATCTGACATATGGCGAACAGTTCGTCGTCGGTAATCCCCTCACGTGCGTACCTAACCTTTACGAATGTAATTTACATAATTTAATTTCATTTTGTAGGTTCGTGTTCATTACATACTATTCCGTGATGTATTTGGGGACCAGCTAGTGCAGCGTAGCGAGATGCTCATCTGCTAACAGTGGCGAGGCGTTTTAGTTGAATTCTCGTGTTGTATGTTTTATTTTCATAATATACACGTGATTTATATTACAAAAAAATAGCATGTTGCTTCCCGCGATAGTTCGAATTCTGGAGACAAATTAAAACAGGTTTCCTAAATTTAAAACGTGTTTCCTGTTGATTACGTGCATGTACATTTTCGAGAATAGGGCGATATATAAGCAGGATTTCATTTCCGCTTTGGTAATGAAACGTATCAACGACTGTCACTCGGGATATTAACAACTGCTACTCCATGGGGAACGTGTTCATCCTACTCGTACATCAAAGACACTTTCTCCGACACGATCTGACACCGTCAGTTGAAAGTGATCGAAGGAGAAGGCGTGCGGAAATTATCGTCTCAGTCACCAGCGTTGCCAAGACAACATGGAAACATAACTATAGTACATAGATGACAAAAAAAAGGTTTGAGAATCTTCAACGCAGGGAAACGCCTGGTAAATCTGTCATTAGTTATCCTGTATCAATCATGATAATATCCAAAGTAGGATACTGTGTCGTTGCACGTTTCTATTTTCAGAAACATAAGTGGTGACACAAATATAAAAACATACTCATCAAAATGCGTCCAGTAATTAACGTTATCATACACAGCTGAAGGAAATTTCAACTTATTATTTATGATCATAAACATTTTCTATTGGAAGAAATATAATGATTTCCTTTTATTTTGCTGGATACGATTTTGTTGAATCTTGCGCTTATGCGTTGCCATGCGTTGTTACATAAACCCAAACTGTTACCACAACAACTACCTGTTGCCATAGAAACGCTGAAATTTACAGAGGATTATTTTGCCGTTGTCGATGGGTGATGGATATTCATGATACAAATGAGCTAAGCTGTGATTAAGTACAATGGGGGAATACGGAAAGGAGATTATACACGATATAGCGAAAGGAGCGAAAACCATTTCCACTGAGACCATGTCATGGTCATATCAGACATCCTTGCAAAACAGTTTGTTTTCTGCGTCGTGACTGGTAAAACTATCTAAAACAAGTCAGGGTACCGTTGTTTAATACTAACATTGTGGCGAAATCCAACAAATCCATAAAATTCAATATCTGGATTGAGGTTTAAACTCGCCAGGGTTCATTAATCAATATACCGAATCTCGCCACCCCAAAAACATATGGAAATATAAATCATGTTATTAAAAATGTATAAATAAAATCGATCAATGTTTTCTAATAGCGCCACGTGCGTGTCAGGACAAGCAGAAATACGCACAGTTGTCGCGAGATAAACACACTATCCAGATTGTATATCAGCGTCGAGAGAATATAATTTGCCAATCCATTTCGTGTTGTATTTTTCTAATATTGTCTAACTTGATAAATAAAGGACGCATGTAAATTTTGTTTTATTTCGATAAATACAGATGTCACGATATATCCAGGTGTATACAGCGACGGTGAGTTTGGTTATAGACTCCCAATTAAATGGTCTGTGCTTCAATTGGTCCGCGCCATTGGTTACGCTAAGCATTTCCATTTTTGTGTAATCTAACTTATTACTATAGCGACACGAGTCGTAAATCATATATGACATTTGACCTTTGAGACTTACGCATTACATTTTCCCCGTCTTGCAAATATTGCGATGTTTTGCTTTTCGAAACAACAAATACAGAACAGAAATTCCATTTCATCGAGCACTGAGTACTCGTTATCGACATCGAGAGTGATAACACAGCGTGTTCAGCCATTACCGGTATCTCCCGCTGTAGCCATTACTCACATGTAATGCTCTACATAATCCCAGCGGGGAAAACTGTGAGTGTTGCCATGGCTACATGTCCCCGATTTGAATTTCTTTTTATGGTGGTCGTTACAAACAAGTGCGATTAATTTTGGTTGAAATCAACTACGGTTGCACCGGAAATGTGTTTAGATTAAAACGGGAAAAGGGAGGGGAAATGAGGCCGATGTCAAGTGGTGGCTGCTTCAGAGGTCTCTCAAAGCCGACACTTAAATGTCCCTGTTTTCCCAGACGCGCTATTAATAATTAATACAAGTTTCAGATCACTCAGTGGAAGGAAATAATGCAAATATTTCAGCTAATTGGTATGATTTGGAGACGATTGGCAATTACAGATCGAACAAGAAAGCTGACGGCTTATAATGTACACTAATGGGCGGGGACTAGAATGTCTGCCACAGTATTATGTACGATTTGTTTGTTTTTATTGTGTTACTGAAATGCCGATAAGAGTGAGAGAAATGTATTTATACTCTCAAATGAAACAGTATCTCAAATTTGAATATTGTAGAACGCATTAGAGATATATGGCTCTAAAAGCACATGCGTTATCAATGATTATTTTCTACCGATATTAGATTCTATGCCGAGTATAGTAACATTAGTTCACATAGAGCAAACCTGTCGTTAAATAAACAAATTACACACATCTATTCAACAATACCATGTATTACGTTAAATAGAGACACAAAATGAGAGAAGTCTGTAACCAACGCGAAGCTCAGAATGTGGCATCCGTTATAAAGAACCATGATTTTAAGATCGGCATTTTCTGTCATTGTTATACACAGAACGGGAGAGCAAACTCATTCAAAGCGTATTTTTTTTCTACAGTTAAGTTAACTATACAGTTAATACGTTTTAAATCATCATGTATTCTCTGTTGCGTAAGTGAAATGTACATTATGGGCGACATAGACATGCACATTCGCACTTACATTATGTATACAGATCTAGCGTACCCATTCAGACCGCACTCAACGTTAACAACGATATTGACACATGTTAAGTCGTCATTAATTACTTAATTACCTGTATCGATGTAATTTAGGTTTATATGGGTCGGGCACGTTGTATCCCAATACTAAAGGTTCTTCTTGGGCTTTACATACGTCGCCTCGCGTGTGATGATACCTATATTGTTCCATGTATTTGCTAGTGTCTTCATAGTGTCGGAACACATATTTGGGTTCCCTATATGTGCTGTAGGCCAGTCTATAGGGGAACTTTGGTCGTTTTTTGTTTCTTTTATACTTGGACGAATCATCACAGGTAAAGTTGGGTTTCCAGCCACTCATATGGGCCCAGTTCTCCTGGTACGTACACACGCAGGGAACGCGGCACTTGAAGTGGATTAACAGCAGGGGGTTAGTATGGGCAGTTGTGAACGTACATGTCGCCTTCTTGTCGTCGACGTCGTCGCTCTGCTTGTCTACATTGTAGTCTTCTTCTCCGATGTCCTCTGATGGAAGTAGCGTTTGGTCGTCATCGGCGGCAACGATCTCCGTGTCAACGTAATGACTGTGCGTTACTCCAGGGTCACAACCTGGTGGTTCCGCCATATCTATCGCTGTCTCTCAATATTGTTGTTTTACCGTGGTACTCGAATATGAGCAAATTCAGCAGACCAGGATATCAACTGTACGTATTTTCGTCATAATTTCACCCAATCGGGTATTTGTACGCGTTGGAATTGTTTCAGATAAATAAATAATTTCGAATAAATAATATCAACGCCAAACGATAACGCACATTCTCGTGTGTATCCAGGAACATGTTCTTCTTTCCCGTCCTTCATTCCGGCGTACAACCTATTAGAAACATCTTATCTATGAAAAGTCACCGGTGAACAAGAAAGGGACGCCACAACTCATCTGAAGCTGTTCACGTGCCGTGGTTGTCATCGACTGGACGTGCATATACACAATATTGCCAATGTAACTGCCTCAGTCTGTGGGTTGTACCATTCACGCGCAGGTATGCGTGAAGCTTTTCCGAGGGAAGAAAACATTAAACATTAAAACGCTACAGCTATAGCAACTGCGCTCTTAAGCGTTTGTGACACATTTTTTTTTGTATCACAAAGCCATTGGCATCACGGTTACGGCGTCGCAAACAAATCGACACTAATGGACCTGGTTATGCGCTGTTATAAACTGTTCGACTTGTTGGAACTAGAATCGACGTTGAATTCACTATAGTCGACATTCTGCAGACTTTACGTAAACTACGCGGTGCTCGCCAAGACTGACAGAACGTCACATTATTACAGCGTTAACATTGAACTTCCCCAGGTTTTTGTAGTGAGTTTGACCTGGTTTTGAACGTGGTGTAATATAGAACCGGTCATGGGATACACATTGTTATTTTTTTGCCACTGATTGAATATAAACTTTTGCAAAATTGGACAAAACCCGACTCTTGCCAATTGTAATACAGTGATTAGTTCGACGATTGGCATACAATGCTTGCACCAAACAGTAAACAAATTCCGATATTTGTTCTGTTTATAAATGAAGTGGCTTTTCGAATTTTATTATTGCGAGTGTACTGAACCATCGCCGAGTTGATTTCGTGAAAGTAACAGGTATAGAAAAACACCTGCCGAGTGGGGGAGGGTCAAACCATTGCGACAGGGATGGCAGATCTAGAAAGAGGGGTTGTTCAGGGCAAATCCCCGTATAGAAACTTAGCAGTTTCTAAACGGTCTTCGAACGGGAAAATACATCTTTAATAAATGAACGGTCAGTTAAGTACATGTACTAAACCTACCATGCAATCTGACAGTAGCTATAGTCTATATACACTGCGATAGTGTTTGTTACGGACATGGAAATGAATTCCTCTAAATGAATGAATACCTCTAAACACATCAAGTTCTCCTGAATGTAGTACCCTAAACTATTGTACTTACCTCAATGAGTGCAAGAAGTCTTGAATTTAAACTCTGTGCAAGTTTCTGGAACGTTCTGCGTGACGTAGCCAAAATTTGAAGTAGTTAATCTTAACACTTGGAGCGAACTAACCTTCCCCGCCAAAATATAAAAAAATATGATAAACCTTGTCCTGGTTCATTTTGTGATACGTGACAAAAGTTGAATTTATCACTCAGGGGGTTATTCATACGCTCTTTTTATTTTTAATTTGAAGGTTGGAAATCCAGTGCATGAGGGGCGCTCACGGGGAGAGGTAATGCATGCAACTGTTATGGTGTTGGGTAGTATATAGCGCACCACGCACTGCATTGTGGGTAAATCATTCCCCAATTACAACAATCCTACAACTCCCGCCACGTGTTGGACTATGTTGTCTTAGAATAGAATAGAATAGAATAGAATAGAATAGAATAGAATAGAATAGAATAGAATAGAATAGAATAGAATAGAATAGAATAGAATAGAATAGAATCCATAATAATATATTCCATTATTCTGAAAGCTTCTTACAATTTTAACCAGTGTTGTCCTTTGCGAGCATTTGATATACGTACAAGCTTGCACCTTATTGTGACACTAATCACACTATATTAGACGTAGATGCATTATTTATGAGAGTAATATGTAATTATGCAAATATTAACAATATACCCCCTAAACATCGCGTTAGTGCTTTAGTATTTTATGACGTCCACATGACATGGATGGGCCCGGAGATGAGTGTAAGCAATGAATTTGTGAATAATTTGCTAAAAATATAGCAAATCTTATCGACAAAAGACCAGATATATCAACAAATTTTACCGCGGGGACGGCGTTCTTACGTCATTGAAGCGCTTCGCCGCTAGAGGGCTCCACTGATGCGAAATGCATTGTTACAACATTTCCGGGAATGATAATTCATGTTTTCTTTGAGTAACTAAAACATTAGTATGATCATTGCATTGCAAAGTTTAT